CCCCCCCCGCGCGTGTGGGCTGGCCGGGGTTCGCCCCGGCCACCTCGAGCCCGGGCGGGTTTTGGTGTAATTTCTGCCATTTCTGGGGTCTCCCTGCCAGCGGTGCCCGGGCAGCGCGGGGTGCGAAAGGCGCGCAGTGATTTTTCAGGGAGGACATTTCATTCGACCTTACCACATCGCACTTCTTCTGCAGGAGGGTGGTTAACGCGCTCTGAAAAAGGAAGAGCCGAACCAGAGGCCCCGAAAGTCGTGCACCCCTTTTCGAGACGCTCTCAACCTGTTTTCCTTCCGTCGGCTTTTCACGGCTGCTTGGCGAGTGGCTTTTTCTGCCCGGTGCTCGGCTGCGGTGGCCGGCCCGGCGCCTGCGCGTTTGGTCTGTTAGCAGCATTTCTTTACCTCAATTTGTAACGAACTCGTCTGATTGTGGTTTATTTAGCGCTTATTTCTTCTGAAATTCATCCTTTTCTTTTCCTGCCCTCCCCATCCAAACCATCCCCAGCCCTGCCCGGTAACCAGCTGCCAGCTCTGCTTCCCTCGTCTTCCTTTTCACTCTCCAGTTTACCCAGGCTAAATCAAAGTGGTGTTTCACAAGGAACTGTGCTTCTTTCCCCCTCCCAGATAACCCGCGGTGACCAGCAATGTTCATTCAACCGCTAGAAATGGAGACGCCCTTTTCCACGGAAGCCTCTCTGCGTCTCTGCCATCGCCCCACTTTTCCCAGCAGCCGGTGGCTCCTTGGAACGCAAACCCCTGCTTTTGCTGTCAGGCGCTGGGCGAGGGGAACCTCCCTGGGTCCCCCCAGCACCCACAGCCAGGAGGGATTCACCTCCTGGCACCGTCCCCGCTCCCCGCGCTGCCCCGCTCTCCACCAGCACGGTCCCCGCAGCCGCAGTGCCGGGGGCTTGCTGAGAGAGGACGGCCTCTGATTTTTCAAACCTTTAGCAAGTTTCTCGGCAAAATCTTTTATTTTTTCACCTGCCCAGGTGTGCTTTCACATTTACCTTTGCCAAAATCGCTGTTCTCAGCGACAGGACAAGGGGCAACGGGCACAAACTGAAGCAGAGGAAGCTCCAGCTGAACAGGAGGAAGAACTTCTTCCCTCTGAGGGTGACGGAGCCCTGGCCCAGGCTGCCCAGAGGGGCTGTGGAGTCTCCTTCTCTGGAGATATTCCAGACCCACCTGGACGCGGTGCTGTGCAGCCTGCTCTGGGTGACCCTGCTTGGGCAGGGGGTTGGGCTGGGTGACCCCAGAGGTCCCTGCCAACCCCTGCCACGCTGGGGTTCTGGGATTCTGTGATTCTCATCCCTTCCCCTCGCTCAGACACAGCTTGAGCACTTTGTTGGGATCCTTCCCAGGGCGACTTGCGATATTTTGCTTTGCTGGCCTGGTTTTGATCTCGGAAGAGGCATTTTGGTGGGTGCCACAATCCGGTCCAGGGCTGCAGCATCGCGTCTCTGAGGCTTCTCGGTGCTGCCCGCAAGCGCTCGGCCCCGCGGGGCTGCACGCGTGGGCAG